AACCGGGGGCTAGCGCCGAAAACTAGCACGGACCCACTAGGCTTTCCAGCTATATTAGCAACACTCGACCCCTCCATCGTCCAATTCTTCTCTTCGTCCAACTCATACCTTACACCGCGCGCTGTAAATCTGAGTATTCAACAGCTTTTCCTCACTTCATCCAAAACAACACACTACCGCCAACATGGGGTAAGTTCTTGTCCCCCCTCCTTCACCCCCACCTTGCGCCTCTCTGGCCCCTCGATTGTGCCCACAGTCGCATCTTGAGCTTGCCACTCGCCCTTGTCTCCAACCAGACAACTAACAAGCAATGCAGTAAGGAAAAGATTCACATCAACGTCGTCGTCATCGGCCACGTCGACTCCGGCAAGTCGACCACCACCGGACGTAAGCCTCCCCTCTCCGAAACACTACGGGGTCAACACGCTCACAATGGGATACAGACTTGATCTACAAGTGCGGTGGTATTGACAAGCGTACCATTGAGAAGTTCGAGAAGGTATGCTATGACTTTTCTTTCACCGGCAGTCCTGCCACTGCCCATTGCAACTTCTGAGCGCGCGGCCATTTTCGGGCTTATCGCAATGAGGGGCATTTTTTGGGTGGTGGGGTTGTGCGAACTTTTACGCGCTAGCGCTAGTCTGGATGCGGCCTTTGCGAACCGCAACACCATGACGCACACTCAATTTTACCTGACGCTGACAACTCTCATAGGAAGCCGCCGAACTCGGCAAGGGTTCCTTCAAGTACGCTTGGGTCCTCGACAAGCTCAAGGCCGAGCGTGAGCGTGGTATCACCATTGACATCGCCCTCTGGAAGTTCGAAACTCCACGCTATTATGTAACAGTTAGGTATACGATTAATTCCCTTCCCCTCTTGTGCCTTCACGTTGCTAACTTGTTGCAGTATGTTTACACCTCTCTTTGTATAATCTTTTGTTTTGTTTTGTTCGTGCCTTCCTCATGTATGCTGCTTGCTGCTGCTGCTGCTGTGGAGGGAAATTTTTTGTTTACGTTGCTGCTTCCATGTATGCCTCACCTTCTTGAGAGGAAGGTGGGGTAACCCCCCATCCTGTAAAAGCCTTTTTTCTTCCTTTTCCCTCCCTCTTCCTTTCATCCTCGACCGGCCTGGATCACCTCACTTCTGCATCGCCTCTGCGTCGGCTGCATCCTGCTCCTATTCTGCCTTCTTCCTCCTCAGCCTACCTCAACCCGCCTCATCATGCAGTCATTCTACGACCCTGCCTCTGGTAGCGTCGAAGCACACATTGATGACGCGGGCTTTCGGCTGCTCGACCTCTCACTTCCTGGCTGGTTCATCAGCGGTCAGATCAAGTCACTCTTTCCATCGCGTTCAAGGTGGGATCCTATTTGCAGCATGTACCCCCTCTCCGCTGCTCCCGGGATGGCATCGGTGCTCTCTTCACCCACCCCACCCAGCATCGACTACTTCCATGGCCTTCCTATTCCTTCACGCCAGAAGAGGTGGGCTGTGTACTCCCTCATCTGCCAACATCCTGAGCTACCCCCCATTCTATACATCGGGTCAGCCACCAATGCAGAGTATGGGGCCAGGTCGAGATACACCGCGTACCTCAACCGTACCGGCGTCATGCCATTTCTTGTTGAACGCGCCCAAAAATTGGGGTATTCCACAACTTTTGGTATGTTGTGCTACACGGATGTACCTCTGGCGCAACATGTTCCCTCTCTCCGCGGCCGCTTCCTTGCATTAGAGTCAGTCTTCACCATCATCTTCTGCGCATGCGTCAAGATGATCATGGATGTTGAGTACATCCCTGACTTTTTTCTCTGGCCTCGCGAGAGTATGCCTTGGAAGCCAGGATGCACCCACCTCTCCCTCTCCGAGAGCGTGCGTGCAGACATCACCCTCACGGAAGAGGAGCTCATTGCCGCTCGAGAATATCGCCTCAAACGCGATGCAGTCAAGACACAACGCTACCACAAGAGGCGCCGTGAGGAAGATGAGGAAGAATTCTTGGCCAACAACCTGTCTCAACACAATGCATGGAGCGCTCAGAACCCTAGCAGGGTGAATGAGATTGCTGCAGGTGTTCGCAGGAAGGCTAAGGAGCTTCAAAGGTTTCGATGCGAGGTCTGCGACTTCAATGCCGCCACCCAATATGCCCTCGATGATCACCGCAAGTCTGAGGCTCATCTTGAGGCTGAAAAAGGGGCGGCAAGGTTGTGAAGCCCCTCTCCTCAGCTGCCGAGAGGCTGAGAGCATCCCGCGCAGCCGCCGTCGCAAATCGCGCTTTTTTTTGCGAGCCGTGCCAAAAGGCCTGCACCAGCAAATCTGACCTTGAGCGGCACAAGAGCAAAAAGAAGCACAAAGAGATCGTAAAGAAGCAGCAGGCCAGCCAGCAGCAGCAGCGCGAACAACTCACCCAGCAGCCAATTTCCATTGAGGATGACGACGATCTCCGTTCACTAACTCTTTATCTAGTCGATGCTCCCGGTCACCGTGATTTCATCAAGAACATGATCACTGGTACCTCCCAGGCTGACTGCGCTATCCTCATTATCGCTGCCGGTACTGGTGAGTTCGAGGCTGGTATCTCCAAGGATGGCCAGACTCGTGAGCACGCCCTTCTCGCCTACACCCTTGGTGTCAAGCAGCTCATCGTTGCCATCAACAAGATGGACACCACCAAGTGGTCTGAGGACCGTTACCAGGAGATCATCAAGGAGACCTCCAACTTCATCAAGAAGGTCGGATACAACCCCAAGCACGTTCCCTTCGTGCCCATCTCCGGTTTCAACGGTGACAACATGATTGAGGCCTCCTCCAACTGCCCCTGGTACAAGGGTTGGGAGAAGGAGACCAAGTCCAAGGCCACCGGTAAGACCCTCCTCGAGGCCATCGACGCCATCGACCCTCCCAGCCGTCCTACCGACAAGCCCCTCCGTCTTCCCCTCCAGGATGTGTACAAGATCGGTGGTATTGGCACGGTTCCCGTCGGTCGTGTCGAGACCGGTATCATCAAGGCCGGTATGGTCGTCACCTTCGCCCCCGCTGGTGTCACCACTGAGGTCAAGTCCGTCGAGATGCACCACGAGCAGCTGACCGAGGGTGTCCCCGGTGACAACGTCGGTTTCAACGTCAAGAACGTCTCCGTCAAGGAGATCCGTCGTGGTAACGTTGCCGGTGACTCCAAGAACGACCCCCCCAAGGCTTCCGAGTCCTTCAACGCCCAGGTCATCGTCCTCAACCACCCCGGTCAGGTCGGTGCCGGTTACGCACCAGTCCTCGACTGCCACACTGCCCACATTGCCTGCAAGTTCTCTGAGCTCCTCGAGAAGATTGACCGCCGTACCGGAAAGTCTGTTGAGAACTCCCCCAAGTTCATCAAGTCTGGTGACGCCGCCATCGTCAAGATGGTTCCCTCCAAGCCCATGTGCGTTGAGGCTTTCACTGACTACCCTCCTCTTGGTCGTTTCGCCGTCCGTGACATGCGTCAGACCGTTGCCGTCGGTGTCATCAAGTCCGTCGCCAAGGTCGACAAGGCCGGCAAGGTCACCAAGGCCGCCGTCAAGGCTTCCAAGAAATAAGCGCTCGGTTTTTGGGTTGCTTGTTTCTCTTCTTTCGTCTCTAGATACCTGCTTCTGGGGATGTGGTTGCTTCGGAAAAGCTGTGATGACTTTTTAAATGTGTCATGCATAACGGTCTGGGGTCCTGGCGTCTCCCTTCCATAGTTTCCATAATGATCTGAATGAAAACATGGGTGGGCAATGAACAAAAACTAAGCTTTATTGTGATCTTCGTGAATGGTTGTGGTGTTGCCAATGGCATGTAAACTTCCAGCCCATGTCCAATCCTGGTGTTTCCACTCGCATCCTCATGTCCTCGCATCCTCATGTCCTCATGTCCGCATGTTCACATGTCCGCATGTTCACATCGTCCTCGTGTCCTCATGTCTGCATCATCCCCGTCCTTATATCCACAGTGTTCTCTTGTCCCCGTCGTCCTCACCACGATTGCAGAGTACCAAAAGCACATGACTCTTAACATTACAACTGTTCAAATACGAGACACCGGACAGCAACTATCCAGGCGCCACATTTATTTCGAAGCACCGCAAAGTCCAATGCGATAAGAGTACATACGCACTTGTCTACCAGGTCCGACAAAACGGATGTTTCCAAGTGACGATTGGTGGACTCCTCGTGCCATGTTGTACGGAAGGACCTATGAGCTAACGACCGTAGTGGTCTTGTGTATTCCACGCCTGAATATTCATTCATTCATTCATTCATTTGTTTGTTTGGGCAAATTCTAGAAAAGCGGACATTGTGGCAACTGTGTGGCTGTTAGGCGCTCATAAATAGGTACAGTAAACGAACGGCTAGGACAGGGACATATAGGAAACGGACATATAGGAGGTGGACAACTAGTGAACAAACAGATAGTAAGCGGATTGGTAGGACATGGACAGTAGGTAAACGGACAACAGGTAAGCGGACAATTGGATGGTGGACAGCTAGATGGCGGACAGGTAGGACGCGGACAGGTAGGACACGGACATGGACGCTAGTAAATGAACATAAGGTAAACAGACAATTAGATGGCGGACAGCTAGATGGCGGACAACTAGGAAACGGGTAGCTATGTAATAAGCGGACAGCTAGGAAACGGACAATTAGACAATGAACAACTCGAGAACGGACAGGTGGTAAATGGACAGCTACGGAACGGACAGCTAGATGGCCATAGCTTTGAGCCATACTTACCCGATGCAAGACTCTACAGTCACAACGATACAATTACTAAAATCTCATTTCGTGGATTGCATCAACAGGTAATGTAAAAGCTTGCATGTAAATCATCTCTTGTGAAGATAGTCAAGGCTGATAGGACGGGATTGGATAGCTCCAATTGTCGACCCACTATTTCGGCTAGGCTGTTGGGCTAGTACTACTTCCTGACCAAACACCAGTCTCGCCTTCCCACACCACGCCTTCCGTGCTCTTGAATTAACAATGTCGGCGGATCTCTTCGCTGAGTTTGGGGCCGACCCTCCTCCCAGCCAGCAGCAACAGTCAGTAGCACCTGCGAAGCCCGGCCCGCCCGCGACATCGGACTTTGGGTTCTTCAATGACCTAACCAACATCCCGGCCTCAGGCGGCTCATCGCAGCAGCCACCGCCGACAAACCATCTCCAGGGTCTTGTTTCTTCTTCGGTCCAAGGAAACGACACTGGTGACAACGATGACTGGGGTGACTTTGAAGGCGGTTCTTCCTTCGATCCAGCTCCCCTCAAATCGCAAGATCCATTCGCATTTGCTCCACCCCAAGCTTCACAGCCCCAGCCAAATCTACGGAACATTACCTCGAGCACCCATGATCCTTTTGCATTTTCATCACAACCAGCTTCGCAACCGCCAGGTCAGACATGGCAACAAGCACCTGTTGTAAAAGCCAAGAAGTCTACAGATCCGAGCGTACTATTCGACGCAGAAGATGAATTCGACGATGAAGACGACTTTGGTGATTTTGAAGGTGAAGAAGAGGCAGCGAAAAATACAGGAGCACCGGTCACATCGTCCTCAGCACTTGCAGATCTACTTGGAGATATGAGCGTATCACAACCACAGCCTCCAAGTAGTAGCCAGCGAGAGGTAGGCAGTGAAAAAGTGTTACCAAAAGGCCAGGTATCTGCAAAGAAGAATATCAAGGGTAGCTTTGGAACTGTACCCAAGGCAAAGCAGTCTGTGCCAAAGTCCGAACCGATTTCACAACAAAAGGACGATCAAGGGTGGGATGAATTCGACGACTGGGAGGCATCCATTCCAACACAGGCAGCACAGAAAGCACCCAGCAAATCCAAATCCATCAATACCGCTCCAAAACTTGGCTCAAGCATTACGCCGCCACCAATACTCTCCCCGACGACACCTGACCCGCAACCTGGCGAGCTGCCTCCTACCAATGTGCCACCGCCTGGAGTTTTGTTGTCACTCTTTCCTTCGCTGTTCGCCGAAGCGCAAGAGAAACTTTTCAAACCCATGGCAGCACAGCCTCTACCTATGAGGAACAAATTAATGGCTGAGCCGGGCACGATTGCTTACCTTCAGGGTTACCTGATGTTGGCAAACGTAGCAGCGCACATTATTGCAGGTCGAAAACTGCGATGGAAACGAGATCAACACCTGTCTCAAGGCATGCGGATAGGGCCAGCGTCTTCGCGGGCAACTTCAGGGATGAAACTAACGGGCATCGACAAGGGGGAAAACATGAAGGAAGAGAGAGAAGTGTCGGATGTAGTGAGAAGCTGGAAAGAGCAAGTTGGGAGATTGCGACATGTTGTTTCTGGTGTCAATCAAATCAAAGCTGGCACTCTGGACCGCGGCCCAGATCTGCAGGAAACCATGCCAGTCAAGACACTGAAGCAGGCAGAAGGTGGCATCCCTGCACGGCAGCCGTGTATGTTGTGTGGGCTCAAAAGAGAGGAAAGAGTGACTGCATCGGACCTGGCTACTGATGACAGCTTTGGCGAGTGGTGGATCGACCAAACCAACATGCATCGAGGTGCGCGTTTCATCAACTGCCGAACCTTGGTACACATATGAACTGACATTTTCCCCAGGCTGTAGGAACTTTTGGAACCAGCACAAAGATACTCTTCGACAGCGATGATGACTCAAATTTTTTAAAAAGGCTGCGTTGAGCCCCGGACGGTGAGAGTGACGTGGAAAAAGAAAAGGCAGCACACATGGCTTGGACGAAAGGGGAGTGTGCGCGTGTCACCACAACAGCCTATATGCGGGATTGGCGGGACATCTAGCCCAGAATGTAGTGGGAGGATAGGCGCGGCTGAAAGGCCCATGGGAGAAGAAATGTTAGCGGAGATTTGTCGGCGGTTGAGGCCAGGTTGCAGGTAGTTGGGCATTGCATGGTTCAGGTGGCATGGATGAGAAAGGAGAGAGAGATGGGCGAGGTAAATAGAGACAGTGTGCCCCTGGCTGGACTGGACTGGACTGGACTGTTGGACAGCATCATGGATCATGGCGAGTCGAGCAGGGCGGGCATTGCAATGACAAGAGTGTGCGACGTCACTGTCTAGTGTAGTGCTAGGGCGGCGCGCGTAGTGTCGGTGTGGGTGTGGGCGCGTCTGGGCTGTGTCGGGACGGAGGACGGAGATCAGATCTGAGGGGAGTCGACCACGTCTGTGCACTTCGCGGGGCCAACGGGGGGGCGCAATGCAAATAACGCCGTTACCGTCCCAAGTCGCATAGTGCCTGCGACGAGTCTGCGTGCCGTTTTCACTACTATACATACACTACGCCCGCTACTGCTACTGCTACTGCTACATGCTAAGTGCTGACTGACTTTGCTGCTGGCCGTCTGTCGACTCCAGCACTCGCCTCGCCTCGCATTCTTATACTCCCAGCAGCTGGATTGGCTTGCAGGTGACATCCGACGTAGGAAGACCTGCACCCCCGCCACAGAAGCCCTTTGCACCATCCACGCCCGCCGCTTCATACCCCAGGAGCCCTATCTGCCCCAGACGCAACACACGGGCCAGTACACGTTGACTTGTGTACCCGTAGACCAAGGCCTAATTATATTGTCGTCATTCGCTGCCTCTGATCTTACCGAGCCCAGCCAACCCCCCGGGCCTGGGAACAGGCGCTCGTACGCCTCAGGGAATGAGCAGGCCAAATGATCATGGTACGTCAAATGACCCTCTTCCCCGGATCCTCATGCCCACGCCTTTCCCCTCTTAACGGCGTGTACCACCGGCGCGCCCTCAGCAGCAGCCACTGTACATAGGCCACACCGCCCTGCTCTGCCACTTGCCCTCCAACACGAACTCGAACCCCCCGAGAGAGCACCCGTACGAGGCTACGTCCCTGTGTCGGTCCCCGCTAAGCCTGCCCTGCACAATCTGATATCTACCCACCCTCCCCGTATACCGTGTTCTGTTGTCGGGCCAATCTGTCAACCTGTCATCGTTGTTGGCCAGCTAATTGGCATTTGCCTATCACACCTGCCTACATACATACACATACATACATGGGTTCGTTGGCTGACGTCCTGACCCCACCAGGCTCTCTACCAGAAGAAGCACCCTTCGACTCCCTGTCGCAATCAGAGCCCATCGCCGAATATGCCCCGCTGGTCAAGACGAAAAGCACCCCGAGCCTGCTCAACTACCGCTCGGGACCTCCGCCGCCCTTAAATACCGCAAAGCGCCTGAGCATCGATGCAGGACAATTAGATCGCATGGCTAGGTGAGTAGTCGGAGCAGTGGTAATAGCAGTAGTGGGGGAAAGAGCCTCCCTCATTCGCTCAATGGCGAGTAGTCATTATCGCTGACGCGTCTGCCTCAGGTCTCCCATCGTTCCAGAACATGAGCATGGCCTAGGGTCCTCCGGCCTGCGTCGCATCCGCCAACAGCCAAGTTACAAGCAGCTCTCAACATCCCAACGGGCTGCTTCCCTGAACATTGGCACTCCGCCAGTATCGAGACATCCCTCCGAATCGGCGCCCACGGCGCCCGCCTCGCCAACATTTGCTTTTGGCGAAGATCTCTCTCGTTTCCCCTCCGAGTCACTTCACTCCTTCTCGTTTGCAACACAGTCAGAAGAGTTTATTCACAATCGCCAGAATGTGCTAAAACGATCCATAGAGTTTATGCGTGACAGGCTAGGCTGGGCAGCAACAAACCCTGGGATAGCAAACGCCCAAGCAAAACTCAGTGGCGACCAGGAGGTGCAGAGTATGATGGAGCTGCTTACTCGGGCAAACCTCATTGGACAAGATGGCACAGGAGCCCATGGACTGGGTGCACTGGGTCCTGTAACAGGGCCAGCCGACATGTCGGGAAACAATCCCTTTGAGAAGGGCTTCATGGCCGAACGCTCAGCGAGTCCAGAGAGCATGCTTGAACCTGCAAGGCCATCGCTGCACCGAGTGACAACTGTCGACGGCGGCGACTCCAGCAGTGCCTCAGACTCCCGAGGCGCGCGAAGCTCGTCGAGTACTGATCGTACCTCTGACACCTCAAGCACACGCACACCAGCAGGCTCTTCTTCACCCCCACCAACCTCGCAACCTCCTCGGCCGCAGCGAGCTGCCCTGAAACGTACACTTACTGATGTCGTGCCCCTCACCATACAAAGCCAACTCAATGACGCTCTAGCACAGCCCTACCGGGTAGGGGATCAAGAAAAAGTTAGCGATCTAGTTTCACCTACGACAATGCCCTCCTTGACACCGAGCTTCAGCAATGCACCAGTTCAACATTCTGTCGGAGCTGCGCCGCATGGTCATGGCAGCAGACACGTCCCAGCCGCACAGGCCATCTTCACCACCGAAACGGAATCACCATGGACCATCACGTCCGCCAATGACCTGGCGTGCTTGGTCTTTGGTGTTACGAGAGCTGAAGTCCGCAAGCTGGGCATACTCGAAGTTGTACGAGAGGATCGCAGAAAATGGCTAGAAAGCAAGTTGAGAGACCCCGAGATTGGCTCAAAGAATGCACAATCGGCAGCGTCACCCGGGACAAACAACTTAAAGGTTGGCAGTGGTGTCACAGCACGGTTGCTGAGTAAGGCTCCGTCGCGGGTAACAGCTGCGAGAAAGGCCAAGACAGACGACGGCAGCGGATCATCCTACTATAATGCCAAGAAAACGGGCAAGCTGAACCATGAATCCAAAGGCTCGAGGGGCGTATTGCTATGCGGCGACGTGATTCCTATTCAAAAACGCAATGGTTCTACAGGGTCTGCCAGCTTGTGGGTCAAAGAGAAGCGGGGTAGCCTGATCTGGGTGCTCGAGGAGATTGCGGAAGACGTCGTGTACATCACCGTTGACGAAGTAGGCTGCGTATCCAAGGGCTGGGGCGCGACAGAAGCCGTCTTCGGGAGCGACCGATTACGACGAGGAATGGATCTCAAGCGGCTGATACCTGGCATACCGCGACTTCGAGGTACAAACACTGGAGCATTAGATTATGATTCGATCGATGAGTTCCGCAGCTACACAGCTCGAACATCAAACAGCATCAACATACCAGTAACTGTGGAAGCACTACCCGGCGAGCCAACATTCCGTATCTCAAGTTTCCCACACATTGCCGGTATCATTGTTCTAAATTCTGCCGACCTCAAAATCACAAGTTCCAATTCCGTCTTTTCATCAGCTTTGTTCGGACAGCCGCGGCCTGAAGGTATCCATATCAGCAAGCTCATACCTGCGTTCGACAAGATTTTACACGTCATGACGGACGAGGATAAAATTGAGCTGGTGGACGGTATCGTTATCCCCGAACACAGCTTCCGCCGCGCTCGAGCTCTGCTGGCCATGCGGGAAGGCAGCGCAGATGCGGCTGCTATTTTCTTGAAGCCAAGTGGTCTGCCAGCTCTCCACCGTGATGGTTCCGAGATTATGGTTGACGTGCAAATGCGGGTAGTCAAGAGCGAGAAAACGCCTCGCTTCGATGAAAACGTGATTGAAGAGGAGGACGGGTCGTCCCCCAAACCAACCAAGGGTCCAGAGCTGGTTTACGCATTATGGATAACCTACTCCAGGCAACTGCATGCTGCGAACCATGGTATTGGGCCCGTGACTCCGCTATTGTCTCGCCCACCCTCGCCCCGCCAACTTCAACCTGGCCAATCGAGTTTTCCTATTCCTAACGAACCAGAATCACATCAATCGCAGGGTGCACCGACCTCTGCATCGCTTATAACTCAGCAAATACAAGAAGCCATGCAACCCATGAACCCTCCTGAACCCTCAACACAACCCCCACCATCAGCTACAATGCAAGAAGAACCACCCCACAAGAAGACTATCAACGACTTTGTCGTGCTGGAAGAAATGGGACAGGGCGCATACGGCCAAGTCAAGCTCTGTCGATACAAGAAGGCCAGTAACAAGAAGGTGGTGATCAAGTATGTTACAAAGAGGCGGATTCTCGTCGATACGTGGACGCGAGACAGGAGGTTAGGAACTGTTCCTCTCGAAATCCACGTCCTAGATTACCTTCGCCGCGATGGCTTCAAGCACCCCAATATTGTCGAAATGGCCGATTTTTTCGAGGACGATATCAACTACTACATTGAAATGATACCGCATGGCCTGCCAGGCATGGATTTGTTTGACTACATTGAGCTACGGGTTAACATGGAAGAGAAGGAGTGCCGAAAGATTTTTGTTCAAGTCGCTGAAGCGATACACCACCTGCACACGAAGGCAAAGGTTGTACATCGCGACATCAAGGACGAGAACGTGGTATTGGATGGCGAAGGCAACATCAAGCTCATTGATTTCGGCAGTGCAGCATATATTAAGAGCGGGCCTTTTGACGTCTTTGTTGGTACCATCGGTACGTTATTTTTTGCTTTTTAACCCCTGAGATTTCCGTCCACGTACTAACGATGCCCTAAATAGACTACGCCGCCCCCGAAGTTCTAGCCGGCAAAGCCTACCGCGGCAAAGAACAAGACGTCTGGGCCCTAGGCATCCTCCTCTACACCATCATCTACAAGGAAAACCCCTTCTACTCGATTGACGAAATCATGGACCACGACCTCCGCGTCCCTTGGGTCATGTCCGAAGAAAGTATTGATTTGGTCCGCTTGATGCTGGACCGTGATGTCGAAAAGAGGATTACGATTAGTATGGTGCTGGAGCACCCGTGGTGTAAGGGTGTCAGTGGTGGTGAGGTGACGCCGACTGCTGCTACGGCACCGACTGCCGCGCTGCCGGCGCCTGCGAGTACGATTGCTTCAGGTGTTTTGGGTGAGGTAGATGGATAGATGGCATGAAAGAGAAAGAAAAGAAAAACATTCCCCCGGTTTAGAGAGACAGATGGTGTTCGGAGAGGAGGACGAGCAATATAGAAAATAACCTCCTCTTTTCTCTTTCCTTTCTTCTCTTCCTTCCCCCCCTCCCCCCCCCCTTCTCTTACGACCTTTTCTTCTTTCATTTTTCATTTCTTCTTTTGAATGGCACATTTTTTTTGATACCTTCATTACTTTCGCTTTTTCCACAACTTTTTCGATCGTGGTATTAAAGGAATTTGGGCATATTAGGGTAGCTCTAGGGACAAATACATGGCAAAATTTCAATGAGTTACAATGCATGACCTTTGTCTTTTCGTTTGATAGATGGGGGAGTGGATATATAGAGACAGGACTGAGTCAGGACATTCGCTTTGAAATTTCAACGTTTCATAGAAAGATTTACAGGTTCATGGATATTTGATTGGTGATTTTCTTCTTCTTCTTTCCATGTCTCATCTTTTCATCATCGAAGCTAGAATCCAAAGAAAAGGTTCTCTTACTAATCGTACAGTTGATGCGTTTCTTACAATGCAATAAAAAAGAAGGCCAGTATGGGAGCCCCTGCGCATGTGGAACTAACTCGTTCAAGAGTGGAATTGGAATACCCTGCCGAAACAAAAAACGCTCTAGCTCGCCCATGCCTATAGAAAACACGCCTTCATATTGCAGTGGAAGGAAAAATCAAATAAATGGACTGACATTTCATCACCTACTGCTGTCCAGATCCTTGAATGTGGCTGGGCTGGGTGGTACAAGAGGGCCCTTGACACCATCATCACCCTTTGGTTCTATGTATCCGGGCGCCTTGCCGTACTCGCCCGAGAAGTACTTGTGGAAATCTTGGTTGTCTTCGAAGGGCCTAGGACCAAGCAGCCTGATCATGTCTTCGCGGCCGAGCATTTCCTTCCTGAGCAGCTCTTCAGCGACCAAGCCTACTTCATGCTTCTTCTCGGTGAGCAAGTCTTTGCATTGCTTGTAGGCCTCATCTACGATACGCTTGACTTCCATGTCAATGTTCTTGGCTGTGTCTTCGGAGAAGGGCTTGGTGAGTTGCTGGCCCTCGCCGTCCTCAAAGTAGATGTAGCCAATCTTCTTACTCATTCCCCATTTGCTGACCATTGCAGTGGCCATCTGGGTGACCTTACGGAAATCGTCAGACGCACCAGATGTGACGGTGTCGAAGTGGAGTTCTTCAGAAACACGTCCGCCGAGTGTCATCGCCATACGGTCCATCAGCTGGTTTACGTTCATAAGGTAAGTGTCACCGTTAGGAAGATATTGGGCATAGCCGAGTGCACCTTGGCCACGCGGGATAATGGAGACCTTGAGAAGAGGATCCGCCCACTTGAAGTACCAACCGCAGATAGCGTGGCCAGCTTCGTGGTAAGCGACAGTCTTCTTCTCTTCGGGCTTGAGGACGAGAGACTTCTTCTCAAGACCGCCAATGACTCGCTCAATGGCCTGTTCGAAATGCACCATGGCGACAGTATCCGCGTTCGCACGGGCGGCTGACAAGTATTAGCAATAGAATGTGTAATCAGGATGTAGAATTCTTACCAATCAAAGCAGCTTCGTTGACGCAGTTGGCAATGTCAGCACCAGAAAAGCCTGGTGTCAAAGCTGCTAGCCTGCCCTTCAGAAACTCCATGTCTTCCTTGGTGACAATCTTCTTCAGATGGACACCAAATATCTGGCCACGGCCATCCATAGTGGGCTTGTCAATGTTGATATGCCTATCGAAACGACCCGGTCGCATGAGGGCCTTGTCCAGAACGTCCGGTCGATTGGTGCCTGCAAGGACAACTACTTGCTCAGTGGTATTGAAACCATCCATCTCGGTGAGGATCTGATTGAGGGTGGCTTCACGCTCGTCGTTGCCACCACCAAAGTTTTGCTTCGAACGAGCACGACCAATAGCATCGATTTCATCAATGAAAATGATGCATGGCGTACTCTTACGCGCATTGGCAAACAAATCTCTGACTCGTGAAGCACCAACACCTACGAACATCTCGACGAACTCGGATCCACTAACACTGAAGAAGGGTACGCCCGACTCTCCAGCGGTAGCCTTGGCAAGGAGTGTCTTACCAGTACCTGGGGATCCGGAGAGAATGGCACCACGAGGGATCTTTGCGCCGAGCTTCTGGAATCGGCCAGGATCCTTAAGGAAAGACACAAACTCCATAATCTCCTGCTTGGCCTCATCCATACCAGCAACGTCACTAAACTTAACCTTGACGTCTGTCTCATGGTTGAACTTCTTAGCGCGGCTCTTGCCCATACCAAAGACACCACCACCTCCTCCTGCACCGCCTCCTGCACGCCTTGTAAAGTAGAAGAGTGCTCCAAGAAGGAGAATGGTAGGGCCAAATGACAAGAAAGTGCCAAACCAGGAGATCTCGTTTGAGTAGGCGACAGGAATGCGTTCAGAGCTGGGGATGCCAAGTTCATATTGAGCGTCGTCCATTTTGCGTTCAAAAGCCTCGACGGAGCCAATGGTGAAGTAGTAGTAGAAGTTCTGGTTAACAGAGGGAGAGTCGGGGTACATGGAAGCAACAGCCTCGCGATGTAGGTGCACCTTTGCCTTGTTGCCGTTGAGGATGACAATCTTCTCGACCAGGCCCTTGTCTAAGAAGGTAGTCCGGAACTCCTGCCATGTAATCTCCTTGGTGTTCTCGCCTGGGAAGACCATCTTGTAGGTAAGGTATGCGAGGAAAGCACTGATAAGTAGTGTGTTTGTGTCCATACCGCCGCCAAATTGGGGTCCGGGTGGTCCACCAGCACCACCCTTGGAGCCCTTGCCTGGGCCTGGGTCGTGTGCACCCGACTTTTGCTGTGGCTCTTGCGGGTTATCATTGTTGAACTTTTGCTGCTCGGCGGCCTTGCGGGCCATGTTGGTGGTTAAGCGCGAGATCTTCGCCGCCGTGGCCAGATCCAGCTTCTCGCCTCTTTCTAGCTTGTCCATCTCTAGACGGAGCTCGGGTGGTATGCCGTTTCGCTTAATTTCTTCCATTGCGTCTTTGATGTTCTGCTTCTGAGCCTTCGGAACGCCCATGGACACAAATGACACCAGCTGATCCAGCATCTTTTCCTCCTCCGGGGTCAGCTTAGCCATCTGAGGCTGTCCTTGGCTATCCTTGTCTGTTCTTGAAGGTTCATTGGAACCAGGTCTGTCGGAATGACCATCCTTCTGTACCGAGTCATCGTCCTTCTTGTTCTTTGGCTCTTCTGGTGGTCCTGTCGCAAATCTCCGAGCGCGTTGCTGGGTGTATATACATTGTGGCAGTGGCGCGCGTATCCGTAATGTGCGTGGTGCTCTTGTGACGGCAGCGTTGAGGTAGGGTCGGGAAAGGCGGGCGAGGTTGCCGGATTGTCGGAGGAGGGTTGACATGGCAGCGGTGGCCTAGGATGGGGGAGGGGCTACAATAAGTGACTCGGGATTGGGGTATAATACAGTGAAGGTGGGGAAAGAAAAATAATTAAGACAGCGGGTGACTGGGAAATCCGCGCCTGAATGGATTGGACTGTACTGCCGCGCGCTGGCAGGAGGAGAGTCTTTGTGGCGGGTGCGCCCTTGATGGCAAAAGCTAAGATATGACAGAATCATCGAAGTTCCTCGCATCGCCGACACGCCGACTGACTAAGCGGGGTCCGGCCAGCCTCAATGCGTTTCTTCACATCCGTGCCAAGGCTTAGCTTATTAAGCTAAGTCAGCTGCGCTGACACTCGCCGCAGGCGAGTGCCTGTTACAAGTAACAAGAAGGATTCTCTCCTTGACGCAGGGTGACGAGGTTGAAGGCCAACCACGTCCACGTCAAAAGGTAATGACATCGCGG